TGTACAGCACTATACAATTCCATTGTGGATGTAACAGTTTAAAATATTTTGCAGTCAGCTACATGAGGGGAAAAATGGAAAAACCACTTAAGTCTGCTACAAACAGTGGAAAAAATTTCATGGGAAGTTCTAAAAGAGAGTATAATAGTGGTGTTACAAAGAAAAACAAGAACTTAGAAGAAACATACCCTGTACTTTTATTAAATGAAGAAGCCAATAGGTTGGTCTGAATTACTTGGTGCTTGGTGTTTGTAGGTCACAGTGGGCTCAACACAGTATTGCTCCCATTAGCAATGGTGTTACAGATGTGCCCAGGAACCCTGAGAATGATCCCATGGCCTGTTTTGGAGAGTGCTGTACAAACATTCAAGAAGATGTGAGTCCCTACATGGAGGAGATTGTAATTAAAGCATGATTCAAGCACTGGGTGTAACAAACAAATGGAGAATGGGGCACAGTAATGATAGGAAAGTGTAGGTGGATAAACTGGTTATGATCTAGAGTTAGCATGAATAAACACAGCAAGAAGAGGAATATTTTACACTGATTGAGAGGAGCAACTGACTCATACGAAACAGCAGCTGGTCCACATAGGACAGTGCTGCATCTCATTTCTCTGGTGCTTCATAGTAACATTGATAAACAGTCTTCCCTAGCACATATGTGGACATGGGCAGAGCCTTTATCTTCCTCTCTCTTTTTGGCATGTGCCAAAAAATTCTTCTCCTGTCACGAAAGACATATGATGAGTATGAGTACTTGTGAAGTTGCAAGCTCTCCTTTTGCTCCTTAGCACCATCCTAAAGTGAATTATTCTGATGAACCCACCACCGTTAATGGACATTTCAGGGGGTGCTGGAGGATGCTCAAAAGATTGTTTTTTTTATCTGGAGTCCTGACCACATTCCCATTTGATGCTTTTTCTGCACAGTTCTCCTGGCACTTCACTCAGACATACTCTTGCCATGCATCCTTCACAGGCATCTCTAATACAAGAAGAGCCCCAAAGCCCAGATTCACCTTTGCATCTGTGCTAATGCACAGTTCAGGTTTACGAGTGGATGCAGAAGCAGGATCAGCACTGGCTCTAATCCATGGGTAATATACAGCTTTAGTCCTCCACCATGCTTTGCTATCCTGGTGGTGTGGAGGGAACCATCCAGTTTGCTGACTCCTTGGAACCTTGGTGAAGGTGAGCTGGCCCAGCTTCAGTGCAGGTATCCCTGCAGTGCAGGTGTTACATTCAGAACACCAGCAGAAAAACTGGCAAAAATGGAGGTTATATCTCCTCTAAAAGGCAGAGGTGTCTGTACCCATCCACATGAGACTGCCTGCACCAACTTCAGATTGTACAGGGCACTCTGTACAAACCTGTCTTAATACTGGACTACTGCATCAGGCTCTAGAGAAATTACTGTGGTGCTGCTGTCAGTACATATTTCAGAGCTGCTCAACTGTCTTTACACATACTTCCACCTCCTTTCCAATCCATGTGCAGACACAACCAGTTTCAGAGCTGTGTGAAGACGTACAGCCAGCACCTCTGGCAAGAAAATGGAAACACTTGCTTGTACCTAGTAAAGGTGGTTGTGAGTAAAGCACAAGGCTTCAAGCACAGTCACCTCTGTGCTATTGTCACCTGCAGACAGTCAGCTTTGGATTTTTGGACCTGCAGCCTCTTGGAAGCTGGAATGAGCATTAGAGGGCAGCAGCTCCCTTGCAACACTGTTTGAAGCTGAAAGCAGTTAACTTTGGACCTTTGGATCAAAAGGCCAGCGTGAAGGCATTCATCCAGATTTGTGAAATTATTTACTGTATTACTCTGAACTTTGGCACCACATTTGTCCCTCAGTTCAAAAGAGCTTATGTTTGCTAACCTTCATGCTGTCACATGCATCTTTCACCTCTGAGAAAACTGCAGGAATTATTGCTCTCCCTGTGTATTTTGCAAATAATCTCAACATACACAGGATTTCATCCCACAGTCTGCAAAAGACTGTGCAGGACTGACTGCTTTAACTACAGCTTTTCAAAAGCCTTGGCGAATTCAATCTAAGATGGCTGCTTAATAAAATAAAAACACTGTGTATGTGGTCCAGCTAGGATAGAGTTAATTTTCTCCACAGCAGCCTGTATAGCGCTGTGCTTTGGTTTTTTGACTAAACTAGCACTTATCTGATAATACACATTGGTTTAGCTGGTACTGGCAGTGTTTGCTCAGCACCAAGGCCTTTTCTTTTCCCCACCCTGCCCCACTGGTGAGGAGGCTGGGGCTGCACAAGAGGCTGGGAGAGGACACAGCTGAACCAGGGGATGTAATATCCCAGACGGTGTGACATTGTGCTCAGCAAGAAATGCAGGGGGGAAAAGGACAAAAGGGGAATGCTCAGAGTTACAATGTTTGTTTCCCCAAGCAACTGCCAGGTGTGTTGAGGTCTTGCCTGCTTGGAAGCAGCTGAACACGTCTGTTGATGAGAAGTGGCAAATGAATTCCTTATTTTGCTTTACTTGCATGTGCAGCTTTGATTTGCTTATTAAACTGCCTTAATATCAGCCCACAAGTTTCTTTTCTTTTGCCCTTCCAATCCTCTCTCCCAGCCTTCCAGGGGAAAGTCATCAAGTGACTGAGTGAGGACTCGGCTGCCAGCTTGGGCCAACCTACTGCAGTCGTTATTGGTGTCCAATGTGGGGCAAGAGGATTTTGAGATAACATCCTTGATCAGAGTGTGCTAGGTAGAATTTATAGCTGTTATTGGCATGGGTTCATACTTTTTGCTTTACCCAATATTAAAGTCTGTCAAGTTAGTGACTGGTTTGGACTTTTGCTGTTTATTGTATCACTTATCATCATGCTCTGCTGTGCAAGGGAACATTTTGTTATCAGCAATGGCCTGGCACAGGGCCCAGACATCCCTGCTCTACTGGGCAGGCTGGAACACCAGTGGAATAGGGTTAATTCCCATCATAGCTGCTCACAGGGTGTTGTGGCTTAGATTTGTGACTAGGGCAGTGTAAACAACACAGGGGTTTTAGTGGCACTTAACAGTGTTTGCACTGACAAGGCCTTTGCTTTTTACCTCTCTGCCCTGCCAGTGATTATGCTGGGCATGGACAAGGGGCTGGGGAAGAAATGCAAGGAGGATAGCTGACCCCAGCTAACCAAAGTACCGTTCATTAGTAAGCAGAAACAGAATCTTCAACTTGTAAAACTGATGCAGATGTACTGAGTCATACTGAGTCATGCTCCTGCAATCAGTTTTGCATTTATGTAACTTTACATAGAATTATACATGTGTGTGTGTGTGTATATATATTTAAAGAACTAATTACTTATTTAGAACATTAAAGATCACTGCATTCTAAAAAACTATTTCACAGTTATCACCTAAAAACCTGGTTCTGCTGAAGTTAGCAAGCATTTATTGACTGTTTTCTAAGGTAAAACCTCAACCCAAAGTTCACATTTCTTTCTTCTTTTTTTTTTTAGTGAATATGGCTTGTGTTGCAATTTCATGGTGGTGTCAAAAATAAATTAAGCACCATTACAAAATACTAAGAAACCAACCTTTAAAGATGAAGCAATTATTCATACTGTTTCACTATTTGAAATTAATTCTAATTGGCACTGAAAATTTTAGTTTCCTGTTGCAAAATTTCACCATTACCAGAGCTACTACTGTAGAGGCAAGCAAACAAAATAAAATGTTGATGGCTTTTATGCTACAATATTATCTTTATTTTCCAGTAGAAAATTACAACAGTTTTTGACATAGTAAAAAAAAAAAAAGAAAATATTTGTTTAGTTTTTACACTTTTTTCACTCCTGTTCTATACCTTCTCTTTAAAATGCATGTTCTGTAAGAGAAAGAAATGAAAAACTACTGAAATAAAACTGGCTAACTCCATCCAAGGTTCAAAGACAAACTACTTTAAAAATTCAGCCTGCTAAATGGTACCTAGTATGATAATTGAAGTGCTGCAAATAAACAGTTTACAGGATAGAAGCCCAGAACACTACTGAAAGCTCAGCTAAAATTCTGCTGAAATAATGAGTTCATAGACTGTGTACCTATTTTCAGATGTAGTCATCCTGGGAAAAATCCACGTAAAATCTATGCACAAGACTATTTCCATTAGTGAAAACACTGTTAAATTGTAAGAGAAGATGCAGATGTTTCCATTACCCAGTTTGATCTAATCCTCCTCTGCCACTCCCAGGCTGTAGTGTCACTGAACAGATGCAGTTCCTCATCAAGGGAGCTCCCTGTCCCAACAGTCTGAGAGTGTATATGGGACTGAGCATCAGGAGTTCTGAATTCTCATTTTGGTTCTCCCATTCTGTTTCATGACCTGCCATGACCTCATTTCTGGGATGGAAAGGCACTGTTGACCCTCTTTCCTTTGCCAGGGCACTTAAGATGAATTATGAGAAATCCACAGCATTCGGATGTGCTGGGTGTGAAAGAACCAAACCAACAATGCCAACAACACACATTCTCTGAGAAGGGACTGCACATACCTCAATGCTGACACATGTCCTGCCTTTGCCACAGTGTAGGTGACAGACGTGGAGGAGAGACCACCCCTACAATCATTTCTCACCAAGGCACTGCTGGAATGCAGCACCACAGCTCAAAATCAGCACTGGTTTTCCCTCTCAGTCTTATGTATGGAGAACACCCACCTGCTATAGCTTTCTATTCCTCATCTGTGCTGCAAAAGCATTACAAAATGGGGATAGTCAGGGCTCAGGATCAAGGGCAGAGTCCCCATTCTTGGGATTTAGGACTTAAAATTAAGTAAAAAGTAAGAGAGAGTACTGGTTATAATGAAGAAGTGATAATACTAATCAGAAGGGACTACTATTTCTTCCCAGAAAAAATAAGCTGTTTTCTAAAGTGTGCATTTGCAGGAATGGAACACCTGCCAGAGAAATCTCTCAATCCTGCTGGTAAAACACCATGTTCCTTTGAGGAAGCACACATACAAACTACTAAGCGTGACTGTTTTAAGGGTTTCTTAACAAACATGTTCTGCATGATGACTGCTGGCAGGTTAAGAGCTCCCAGACTTGTCAGTCCTTTTCGCAGTCAGACTCCCACCAAAATCACAGCCATAGAGCTCTACCCGAAGGGCAATCCCATGGTACCATGTTTTTGGAACAATGCGGATGAACCTGGACAGGATGGGTGGGTTAAAAAAATTCTTGACGTGCCCATTGCTGTTTGCATTACCCAAGAAAACCTGTGAATACACAAAGGTTAAAGTTAAATGGTTGCACTTGAAAAAAATCCTGAGTATTTTCTTTACAACAGTTCCAAGCTGTTGCATTAGTCCCACCCAGGCTAGATGGACTGGCTCATTTCTGGTTTTAAACAAGACCACAACAAGTTTCTTCCTAACGTGCTGGGTTAAAAGTAGTTCAGGCCAGCAATAGCTGAGTCTGAATAGATTAAACAGCCTCTGTTTCCATCCACACCAGAAAATTTGCCATTCTAATTTCTAATGGACCAAACTCACAGTCTTTTCTTATTTTACCGCTGCTAACAGCCCTTGTGGGTTAGGTTGGTGTAAGGTAATATGGGAAAAAATACAAAGTACTTTGTATGCTGTATGGGTACCTGAAGTTCCCCAGCTCTGCTATAGCACTTCTGCTCCCTAACATTACTTTCACTTAAAAAATCGGGGCAAAAATAAAAAAAAAACACAACCAAAAGGGGCCCTGGGGAACCCATTAGTCACTCAAATTAAATGTCCTTGTGCATTCAGACTAAAAGTCCTCCTTTACAAAGGGTGTCAGCTCCTTTTATCACAATGTTGGCTGCATTCTCTGCAGATACAGCATTCATTCTTTTTATTATGATTCATTATGATCACTAAAATCAGACGGATACTGTTATATTATCTGTAGTAACCCCAGCTCCCTAGCACTTTACAGTCCAGTGAGAATATCAATTTGGCTGTGCATTCTGCCTTTGAGCCTTGACTGTGTTCAGCACCTAAAACTGAACAATTGCCTGGGCTGACAGTGATACCTTTGGCACCGAGCTTGAACCCTCAGTGTAGGATTTCCACTCGGAGCCTTCATTGCTGTACAGAAGAACATAGGTTTTCACAAAGTTTTCGGCTGACATGGACGTGACCCCCTGTGTAGCAATAGCAGTGATCTTCTTAACTGTGAGGAGATCAATTTGCAGCCACTGTTGGTGGTTGTTCACCTACAATTGATATAAAAGTTTGTGTATTAGCAAACATGTCTATGTCTGTATTTGCTTAAGTGAAAAAGCTTGTTTACAGGTAGTTAAAAGTGTATCAAAATGCATCAAAACTGCATCAAAGAAGTCCAGAAGAGTAAAGCTGAGGCAAATCAAAGCACTCTTAGTGACCTATATAATTAACTTCATCACTGCAGGTAGTGTATTTGGAGTCTTTAAGATTTACACTTTACTTTCCAATACATAATGAAATATAACAGAGATTTACCTCCAGTATTAAAACATACTTAATACTAATACCAAATGCTTATACAAAAGAGCATCTTCCAGCAAATCTCAAGGTGCTTTAAAGTGAAGAAATGCAGCTACATTTCAAAGACACAGAAGCTCACATGCTTTGCTGAAGGTCACCCAGCCCCAGACCCACTAGGCTGCACTGCCTAATAGCCAACCCAGAATGTTTTTCTTTAACCCCTTTGAGGCAAATATTCAAGTTGCACTCATCTCCTGAAATCAAACAGGCTATTCCCACAGGAATGTTCTGCAGACTGGCCCAGAGGAGACCATCCATCTCTCAAAAGTATTTCACTGCTGCTGCCAGAAGCTCAAGTTTTCTGCTAGAGTTGAGTGATGCTCTTCCTGAGGGGTGGTTGTGAAGTGACTCTACCACGCTCAGCACTGGACAGAGCATGCAGGAAGCACCATGATCACACAGGCAGCACAAATTTATTAACCAGCTGTCCCTGCTGCTTTCCATGATTTTGTCTTGTTACCTTGGCTCGCCAGGCATTAATCTTTCCATTCTGATTGAGACGAGCAAGTGAAGCATCCCATGTGTTAAACCAGGATGTCTTAGTAGATGAGGCTGTTATCTGAGTATTCTTGATTTCTCCACTTTCCATTCCAAGTGGCAAAGAGCAACCTGTTGAGAGGAGCACTGTGTCATCCCCAGAACATCCAAGTAGCCACAGCAAAAGCAACAATGTTGGAATGGGGAACGCCCAGTTTTAGCTTCATTTAAAGTATTAGGTAAAAAATTTGGCAGAATGGAAGCACTAGCACTTGACCAATTCTTACCATCTACTTCACAGCCCAGAAGCTCCATGCGAAGAGTAGGCCTGTTGTAGAACTCAGTGGGGTAGAGTCTGATGTACCTAGCAATAATAGGGGGATCAATGATGTTCTCTTTTATCTCATACGCATTGGAATTACCTTCAAAAATCTGTTTAAAAGAAAAACAAAAAAAAAAAGAAAAAAACCCACACAGTACTTAATTTAATGTAAACACAAGCCTGGATGCTGAAAGCCTGCCCTGTTACAAATGTAGTCTTTTTTTGTGCCTTTAGCCCCATCCACAGTGATAGCACACCCTCTGCTGCAGGGCCACTTGAGATATCTCATGGTCCCATCTTAACATATTTGGAAGTGTCTGAAGGCCTCAGTTTAAACAAGGAATCTTTTTTTAACGTAAGCCTGTAAGAATACATGAGCAAAGAGGCAAAAGGAGAGGTAAAAGACAACAAGCTTTCAATTTGGGAGCTGTACCACAGAAACCTCAGTGTAAATTGAAGTGAGCTGCAATAGGTAGGGCTGGAGCAGCTGTGAATAGGATGAACCTCTTTCAGCATACAGCCATGCTCACCACATTGCCCTTCTGCAGGCAAATCAGACAGTTCAACATGCAGCTGCTGGGACAGATCAAAGGAAGGGATGAGAAGCAGAATCTAATCCCAAATGAGGTAAGGGCCTGATTTTTAGTTTAACTTCCTGCTTCCTTCAAAAAAGCTGCCATGGGCTTAGGAAATAATGTAGTAAGGAGAGATGCCTGTGAGAGAGCCAGACTCCACACGGTCAAGGTCACGAGGCCTCACAAACCCCAGGCCAGGTAACTCCTCACCTTACAATTTGTCTTCTAGTCTGAAATTCATCAGTTTGGTAAATGCCCTTTGGGGCTTCAAGCTGGACCTATTAAGGCTCTAAAGGCCATAATTTTTTCCACTTTTTCTTAACATTAAACAAGACTCACTGTATCACTCAGTGATGCTGTCTAGGTTGTTGCAACCCCCATGGCACAGACAGACCTTTCCTGTTAGTGAGCTGTCTCCTTTGAAGGTGTTCCATGTCCGCTTGTCTTTGCTGTAAACAAGAAAATACTTCTGGATGTACAAGGACTTAAAAAACTGCTTGGCTCCCTGTGTTTGTATCCCAGTGAGCAAAACTTGTCTTCGCAAGTCCACCTAGGAACATGAAAGAATGTTTATAAAGTCAGTAATGCACAGCAAAACCCATATAATTCTTTGGCATTTACACAGTAGCTTTTTAACATGAACAACACTAACATTCTCTAAAGGAGTAATAGATACCAGAGTCCAAATTAATGTGCTCTCATTTAATTTGTGTATTTGTGTATTTGTGTGTGCATTTAGTTTCAGAGGCCATTTTACAGGGTTCAGCACTGCACCACAAAGGCACCTCAAAAGTATCTGTGTGTCTGTGGTAGGCACAGCTCCCCCTGTCCCATTTTACAGACAGGTCAAAGGAGCACAGAGAAATTAAAGGCTCACACTTTTAGAAGCCACCTCTAATTTTGGATACCCAGGCTGCAGAAAGACATATGACATTCTGAAATGCTGAAAAGCCACCATTCCTGCAGATAAAATACCTAAGCACTTAGCACAAGAAAATAAATCTGGAAGGTGTGCCTATCAGCAGTGAAGCTCATTCTTTGGGACACGCCCTTCATACCTCTGCATGCTTCCCTGCAGTAACCTCAACTTCTCACTACCACAGCCTCCTGTTAAATTCTTTCTTTTCCCAAAGTTATTTCCAGTTCCACAGCAGATCTCCCAACCTTTTCTCCCTACTTCCACTAACTTGCTGGTTTGTCAAATATTAGCAAGCCAAATGCAACAGCTACCTGCTGTGACTCTTTCTTGTCTTCCGATCAATTTTAATGAGATTTATAATAAATCAACTATTCACCCCAAATTTGGGTGCAAACTGGCTATGCAGTGCAAAAGTCACTGGGATGGAATAAAAATGGAAGTGAGGTAACTGAATGATAGAGTGCTAGAAGTCATAATTGTAAGCTTAGTGTCCCCGTGAAAACAACTGAGTTCTGTCAAGTGGAACAGCAGCATACAATCCAAGCAAAAAACTGTCTGAAGCAAGGCTTGAGGATATTACACTTTAAATGACCACCCAACAAACACATACATACAAATATGTACTGTTAGGTAGACAAAGGAAAAATAAAAATAATTACTCCATTTGCCTACAAATTGGTTACAATCTAAATTGTGAAGGTAACTGTCCAGTCAATGAGCCTCAACAGCAGCAGAGAGGTTACCCCAGAGAAGAAAAACAATTCATAGCATTACCAATCTTGCCACATCTTTTCAGTTATCCCCTGCAGTCTTCTCAGTGACAAGAGCAGCTAGACCTTCTAAAATAAGCTGTAAGAAAATCATAACTCAATGATGTTGTACCTTACCTGGATCCAAGGGAGTTCTTCCTCTACTGTAGTACTCCAAGCATTGTATGTTCCATAATTATTTAATCGGGCTAACTTAGGTTCCCAATAGTCTAGACAGAAAGTATGAATAAAGCAAGAATTTCAAGAGGCATTGAAAAAACAAACTGAGGCTGTAATTAGCTTTGAGTGCTCCATTTCCCACCCCCATTCAAAGGATTAAAAAAAAAAAAGAAAAAAATACAAACGAGAGACTCTAAAACAATAATCTAGGATAATTTGGACATGGCCAGCAGCTGAAAGTCATCTGTACCCTGCAAAGCTTTAGAGTTGACAAAATGACAAAAGTAATAGTCTTTTCTGTAATATACTGTCTGGTAATTAGGAACTAGGGTCTAGAGTTTGCTAAACAAGTTTTGGAGCCCAGCAGGATCAGATACAAAATGTGCTCTACATTAATGGAAGAGAACCCCCCCTCTGCATAACAAGGTTTCCAAGTTAAAAACTAATATAGAATATATATTACAAAACAACTTTCAAGCCTTCATAACACTCTATGAGGAAACAAAGAGAGAAAACCAAATCCACAGAAAATTCAGTTTGACAAAGTAATATATTTTTTATTTCAAGGGAAAGGATGGACATTCCTGCATGGGTGTGTAACGTGTACACCATAATTTGACACTATGTAAAATTCTAAGAAAATTCTCTATGTAATGATCCCACTTTTGTACCACAGATAAACTTGACAAATTAAAGACTCTGTAATTGCTCTGGATGCCAGGGTTCCCCAGTCTTACATAATAGATATATTTTGTCCTTTCACATCTCATACCACATGCAAATCTCAAAAGGTTTTTGAATGCTTGGTGTTCATTTTCAACAGGAAATCCAAGGGACAAAAGGAATGCTGGATTTGTTCCTGATCATTCAGCAGGCCACAGAGAGAGCAGTCCCTGACTCAAGCTTGTGATTGATAGCAGACCTGTGACACTTAAAATACGATGATGATGGCTACCTTCAGAGCTCCCAGTCTCTGCTTGGAACACTGGAGAAACTTTCAGCCTGACATCTGATTCACTGCTGAACTGATCTTGAAAGACTTAGGAGATGCCAAAAGAATACAGCACTGCAACATTTTGCTGGGGGTCTTCAGGAGCTTGCATGGACCTTTTCAAGGATAAACTCACCTATGTGATGTGAAGCATCGATCTGCGAATCAAGTATAACTCCACTTGCCAGGCCCATTGGAATCCTGCAATCTGAAAGGAGCACAATAAGTTTGCTGTTAAAGAAAATGAGGGCTATTCCAATATATATTCTGGTGAAATCTGAGACAGCATCACTCAGAACAATTCCTAGTAATTCTGTAACACCGTTCTTCCCAGAGAAGTTTAAATTAATTTCTGCAATTTCTCTCAATAGATTAATCCACTGGTCACTGTAGGGAAACCTCAAAATCAAAGCTAGCATGCTAAAGGAATAAAGGTAGTGTGCTAAATAGTTCAAAGCCAGCATTTCTGGAAGCTAAATATTTTTTCTTCTAGAAAAAATTTACAGTAACCACTCCACCATGTCCTTGAATGTGGATAATTTTCTATGTCAGTTTTTTTTGCAGAACAATCTCTCATGTTTATTTTCAGTGATCCTAAAAGGGTAGAGAAGACTTCATACCTTGACTTTCCCAGCCAAAAACCACCGTAGTTCATACCTTTCTCTATAACCAAATAGGATGCCTGCATTCCTGCTTGCTGGTATTCCCCCACTTCAGTGTCTAAAAGCCACCAGCCAGGTCTCTGTGGTTTCATTTCAATTGTTCTAAATGAGCCTTAAAAAAAAGGAAATCAAATGTATCACAAACATTGGCATTACAAGGTTGATATCAGTGAGGCTGAATTTTAAACCAAAAATCTTTTTATGACCTAATCCAAAAAATTTAAAAACACATTGCAGTGAGAGCAGTAACTTCCACTATCTCAGTGATTTTTTTCTTAGCAAGCTAGTTCTAGCTGGAGACTGAGATTGGAATCAAGTAGCCAGATCAAAACCCAACCTTTGCTGATGGTGCAAAGTACAAAACCTTGTCTACCTGTACGTAACAACAGATATCTGCACGTTAACTACAGTGCTGAACAGTGTAGTGAACAGTGTTTATTACATAATGCAGGAATGTTAATTCTGTGGTGTTAGTTATGATTCTCACTCCTGCTGTGCCAGTGTGTTGTTCTAGTAATGAAAGGGATGGATGTAAAGAAGCCAAAGGCAGAAGTGGGAAAATTAGAAGTATGGGCCCTCCTCTCACTTTCTGCATGCCCCAGGAGTGCCAAGGGTTGAGCAGGAAGCAGATAAGGTTTCAGTTGCTTGCTGCACTTTTTAGAAAGCACAGGACATGTTCTCATTGCTTTTCTTCTGTTCCTAGTTAATGCAGACAATTCTTCAGGTAATTCCAGCTAATTTTGGTTCCCATTTAAATAAAAGTATGTAGATTTAACTACCATAAAACTAATGACATAAAATAGTGAATATACTACCCCTAACATTCACTAAAACTCCTAATATTCCCATTATAGTACTATTATTTTGATCTCCTTGTTGTCTTTTTTTTTTTTACTCTTGAACTCTTGTAGCTGACAATACAGGTCTTCATAAGTGCTCTTATTGCACATTGGCACTGCTGACAGTGATGGGGAAAAGGACTTCATCCTGTAGTCTAACGAATACTTATAGCCTATTTCTCCCTAGAGAGAGAGAAACAATTCTTCTAGGGCTCACAGTTGTTCTTTCTGTTCTGTATCACTCACCCGGACATTAAAACCCCTAAACTCCCACTATTTGGAGACCTTTAAATTGGTATGATGATGGCAGACTGCAGAGGTCACCCCTTAGAACTTCCTCTGCTCTGATGCTTACCTGGGAGGAGAGTGTATGTACCAAGCTGATGCTCTGGCTCTCCTTGTTCTATGAAAGTCTGTCCATGAAAATGGACAACATGAATGTCTTTTGGCCCACCCATATTCAGCAAGTGCCATCGGACTGTTTCACCTTCATACATCCTCAAACCTTGCAAATTGTAGGTAATCCCATTAATGGCTGAAAAAAAAGATTGTTAATCAGAAAAAAACTGCTCACAGAACTGGACTCAAAGTGCTAGAAAGTAATTATTGAAATTAGCAAAATATTCAATGAAGTAATGTGCTCACGAAAAACGTAATTTTTTCTAATTTATCATTTTTCCTAATTTAAAGTGCAACACACTTTATGGTCTGTGTACATCAATGCAGAAAATCCAGAGACCTCACCAGAAGATCTGAGCACTGCTTGCTAGCAACACATGGCAGCCAGGAGAACAAAAAGATTTAAATGTAAGATGGGAATATCAGGCCCCAAAAAAAGGACAGCTGTAAACTCTTCCTGCAGCTCCCATTTCCACAGGCACACAGTCACAACTGATATACCTCTATATCCACAGATAGGTATATAAAGGGATGTTCTACAGCTGCTTCAAATTCCTCAATAGAACTATCTGATTTGTCAAATTATTAAAATGTTTTTAAATTTCTTACAAGAAGTTGTCAGGGTACTAGCTTCTTATTGCAAAGTACCTTCTTCTAGTACAAAGAACCTTTTGTTTCTTTTTTATTTGAACATGGGGGGGGAATATGTATGTGAATGCAAGGTATATTTTCTGTTGAAAGTTTCAGTCTAATATGTCCTTTCTTAATTTTAATAGTAAATTTCCCATCATTGCTAATTTTTACCTGTAAGCCCATGACTATTATAGGTACAATGGATAACAACAAAAAAAGTTCACATAACCAATGTGTGGGATTTATGCATGTTGAAAAGGACTGTGAGCTGAGATCCATCTCCTGACATGTTTCCCTCTACCCCAATAAACTGCATATTTGGCAAAATGAAATAAGTACCATAGAATTTGTGGCACTGCTGCATTTCTTGTGTCTTGTCATTACAAGGCCTTCCAGAATGCTTGTCGAAGTACCAGCTTTTCTCTTCATCAAAGACCATAAAAAGCAAGAAAAAGTCTCGGGTATATGTCCTGCTGCTGTCTGATTTGCTGAAGGCTCCTTTTTCACAGATCAGTATTGGCCCAATTAAACCAGACTGAATGTCTTTCTCCTAGAAGGTAATAAACTCATATTAGAGGTAAAAGTGGATTTCCCAAAAGATGTAAAGAAACCCCATAGCATTCTTCAGTAATGTGTCAGCCCCTAAAAATCTAAAACAGGTCTCAGAATTACTGCTCCCTTCTATCTTTACTTTCCCCTGCTCAGTCTACCAGAGCTGCCCAATTCAAATTCTTCCATACCCTATGTCCTGCTTTAACTGAGTGCAAGAGATTAAATGTCAGGTGGGAACATGGAGCCCAAAAGAAACGACACATATCAAAAAACATGTTCTGCCGCTTGCATTTCTACAGCCATACATAATTTGGAGATATTCAAAACCCAACGGAACATTGGTCCTGGACAAACAACTCCAGCCAACCCTGCTTGAGTTGCAGTGGTGGACTGATTGATCTCTAGTGATGCCTTCCAACACAAGTGTTTTCTATGATTCTGTGATCAGCCCCAGCCACACCACCACTTCTATTTTCATTCCCTTACCAGGTTTAAATCAGAGTAGTAGATCCAGGACCGACAAGCTGCTCCTGACTGCACAGGACCCGATCGCCTGTTAGCGTACCATACATATATGTAGCTGTTATTTGGCTGAACTTCATCATCTTCCTTAAACCAAGCAGTAGATTCATCATCATAAATGCTTCCCTCAGAGGACTTTTCATAGAAGACTCCATGGGCATGGAGGGAGTACGGTCTGGATGCCAGATTTTTAAAATGAACCTAAAAAAACCAAAACAGTCTGTTCAGCAAGCTCAGGCCTAATCCAAAGTCCCCACACACTACATTCCCATGACCTCAAACCAGAGTCAAGATTTGAATAAAGATTACAGGTTACGTTGTACATGGAAAAGCCAGCAGAGACTGCTTTTGACATCTCCTGCAGAGTCTCCACCTTTGATAGAGGTAGTAAATGAAAAATCAGAAAGCACAAGTCTAGCTCCACGTCTTTCATCAGGTCAAGGCTCCCAGGACATTTACTGCTGCTCCTTGTACCTGGAGCTGCTTAGTTACTGTCAGCAGGGAAATGGGAAATTTCTACCTCTTATGCTTTGCTGCAGTCATTACAATATAGTAACTCTAGACCTCTGTATGTATCATTCTTGCTGTAATCAGTGCTTCCCACTTGTCCCAGAGAAACACCAGGATAGTGGGATTACATATGCACCTCCCATTAAAGAATAACGCTCCCATGCTACACAATATTTTTCTTCTCTTACTCATGATTTAAGCACAGCTTGGTGTGTTGCACACCAGTCCTACTGAAATAAGCAGAAAGCCCTGAGATCTATCTTCCCTATCTAAGTCCATCTCTGTGTGTTCCAAGACTGGATGAAGAAGGATGAGAGACCTAATGCAAATATACCACAGTATCACCAGGGATATGGTTCCTCTTCATCCTTGTTGATAGTTCTAATAAAATCCTGCACATTTACATAGCAAAACTTGTTAGAGGAAATTATGTATTTTCCCAAAAAGTATATATTAATCTTAAACACCTATGTACTAATTTTTGAGTTTAGAAAACTCATTTTTCATTAACATTAAACCTAAATCTTATTTTACAATAGACCAATAAGCCAGTATTTAATTCTGGGAAACATAAGAAAGAAAAACAGAATTTAATTTGCTGTGGACAGGAGAGAAAAAAGATGTGTTCCATAGAAACACATCACAGTGCTTACATGTCCACAGTGCAATTTCTAGCTTTGAAAACTGTTTTCCCTTCATCATCTTTAAAAAATTCGTGGTATTTTTAGGTCCATTCTGTAACACTCCAAGACCACTGTAAGAATCTTATCCTGCAAACACAACCAAAACATAGACTTACTAGGATAACATCGTCCACTTCAGCCCGAATAACTGGTCCCAGGATGCCAAGATGTTCTGTATATTCATCTTCATCCTGAAGAGTCGAAAAGGTACTGTCTGTATAGCTCTGGAAAATCACCTTTCTTCTGCTGCCATCTTTACAGGTTTTGTCATTCCTCATTGTACTGAAATGAAAACCTCAATTAAAATCCCACACAGTGAATCAGAAATAATCACTTTGATGAAACCTGAGAACTCATACAGCAGAAACATTTTTGAATTCTGTGAATATAAAGAATAAACACTCAAATGGCTTCAAACTGTGTCAGGGAAGGTTTAGATTGGATATTAGGAAAAATTTCTTTGCCCAGGAAAGCGATTGAGTCTTATTCCCTGGAAGTTTTCAGAGAAGAAATGTGGATGTGGATATGCCTGTTCTGAGGGACACAGTTTAGTGGTGAACCTGGCAGTGATGGGTTTGAGGTTGGACTTGATGGTCTTAAAGTTGTTTTCCAACCTTCTGTGAATCCACAAAATGAGTGTCAGATGATTCTGAAAATCATGGCTTGCAATGTTTAAGAAATTCTAGTTCTACAGTTGGATAAGAGGTCCCTCAATAATTTGGTAAACTATCACTGAAAAACTCCAACAAGTCTCTCAAAACCCATCTGAGCTCTATTTTCCTTTTATTCTTAGCCTTAATAATCTCAGCTGGAGCTTGGCTGAGTATAGTGAACCTATCACCTACACCCTACTGTCTCACAGATCTTTACATCTGATAACACCTGCATTTTGCACACTGAGCTGCTGTGGTAAAACAAGCTTTTGGACATTCGACCTGTTGTTCAGATCTTAAATAGAAGCACTGAAATGCTATTATAATTCCCTACAAATATTGCTTTATTATAAATTCTGCAAAAAACCAGAAATTTAATGTAAGTTACATAGGAAAAAGGCTGTGTTTCAGCTCTTCAACACACTGAGACAGGATATGCTATGGACTCTGTTAAATTCACTGGAACTATGCAGCTCACATCAGCTGAGGATGAATGCCTCTGGAAAGACCTAGATAGAGGTCTAAGCATAAAAAAATTCTTTATTTTGCAAGTACCCAAAGAAACTATCTTGTTTCTGCTATTTTTGCATGTGCCATTTATATGGACTGAGATGAGGCAAAAGTAAACCTGGAGAATACTGAAAAAGTTTTATTTTTATTTCCATCAAATGAAATGGAAATTCAGTTTGAGAAATAATCTATGTTTGGAGGTTCATTTTGTATAATGAAGATTTTCTTACTCCTGTTTTGGCTGTTTTTGATAAAAATCCAAAGTTGTGTATGCTTTGATTCAGCTTTTTTATGAAAAGTGACAAGGAATTCTATGCCATGTTGGGTGAGCACTGATCCTAACCTGTATCAATTAAGAGAGTGAATTTTTAGTACAGTGGTTTTCTCAGTATATTATCACATATTCTTTTGGCACAGTGGCCAGTCTTCCCTATCAAAACATAAGAAAATTCCTCAACATTAGGGTTGTGATCCAGTCACCTTTCTGATTTCTCTAACAGCAGGAGCAACAATAATACTTTATGCAGCTTTGTTTTTACTCTGAATATAAGGCAGTTACCAGAGTGGTTAAACACTTTGAGCTTTCATACACTTTTCAATACTGCAGCCTTGTGAAGTTGGAAAGTGCTCTTATCCTATTCTCCAACAGAGAACTGAGACACCAGAACCATTTCCTAATAGTGCTAGAAACTGATTTCATCTGCCTATAAGCATATCCCATTCTAGATTCCATCAGTTAGTCCACTAAATTCCTGGAAAGGCTTTGCACAAGGAGGTCTCTGTTCTGCGTACAGGCACCAAGAAATGAAGCACAAAGTAAAACAGGTCATTCAAATATAACAATACAAGCTCCAAGATTCCCTCTTGACCTCTTACAGTGATTTTTCTAAATGATGTATTAAAGACTGTTTCTCGAGAGTCTACAAAACAGGGTTAAGAAAAAAAAAAGTTCTAAAGAGTTCTTAGCTGTGTTGTCCTTGATTATAGTAATCTCACTCTGACATTTCTAAGGGCTGTGAGTCTCCTGTGGAAAATTCTTATGGTTCTGCCACTGAAATGTTGGAAATCAGATGGCACATTACAGATGCTTTTAAGTTTATCAGCATGTGAATAAACATTCTGCAAGAAGGTTTCAGGATGGTGTGCCAAATGAAAGCAAAGGCAAACCTTTTCTTATATCCCGCATAGTTCCAGCAGACCTCTTTAGCTGCGATGTAATATCTCCTCTCATTGCCTCTGCTGCGCAGGTAGTGCTCAGCAATGTCATCAGGGTTACGCTGCCTGCTGATGTTCACCTTGGGGTCTGTCATGTAGGGGTCATCGAAGCTCACATAATGGTACTCGTATTCCCCACCCGAGCTTTCGTCGTTGTAGGATTCTCCTATCACATATTCGTAGTCCCCATCTGCTCGGGGAAGCCCGATTGTGATGGATGGCCGAAACTGCCGCGGGGTGAGGGTGTCATTCAGCGACTCTCCGTGCCTGGCTCTGCTCAGATCCAGCCTCTGGCTGACCTCACTGGGTGCCTCGGTGGTGTTTGGCACTGCCGTGTGGTTGGTCCCACCCGGAAACAATGCACGGCCAAACCCTGCCATGGAATTGCTGGGCTTTTTGGGTTTTCTACTCCTTGGGCTCAGCAAATAGGTAATTTTTACATCTTCCTTCTTTCTCCTTCGGATCTTGATGAAGGTTCCCAATGAAGTCAAGGTATCATTGTTGTTTCCCTCCTTTCCTTTCTGAGTTGGGTGCATGTGGTTCCCTTTCTGGTTTTCCCCCATTAGATGTGAGAATCCTTGATACTTTTTCATATCCTCCTTATTTATGGATGCTGTACTGTTTCTGCCATGATGATTTAACTTGCTACCAGCAGATTTATCTAAGCTTGCCTCTAATCCCAGATTCATCTTTGCAGACACCAAGTTAAATTCCTCACTAGTCATTTTAGATGAATATTTCCCAGGGCTGGGTAATGATGTTTCTAGTAAGTTCTTCACTACAGGAGGGCTGGAATTAGGGCTTGTATTGTCTAACATGTGTTCTAAAGTAAAAACATCTGCTGGTTTATCTTTGGATATCCTGGGTTCAGAAATGCTGGATGCATTAGACCCACCTCCTACTATGAGGTCCAAATCTACTGTCAGGTTAACTGTGTGCATGGCATTTTCCATCTTCTTTCCCTCCTCTTTCAGATCATCATTATATTCATTTGGCAGCTGACCAGTTCCCACCATGGCTTCATTGGATGTGTTTTCTCGATGCTGCACAGAATGAGGTGCATCAGTCTTGTCAGAAAAGGAGACATTTTTATTTCGGACATGATTTAGCAGGGCATTCATCTTTTGGACAGAGTAAAACTTAATGGCCAGTGAGCTTCGCCTTTTCCTTTTCTTGTTAGTGGTATAATTTCCTCCTCCTGTGCTTTGCTTTTGATGTATTTCTGGAAAAGGTTTACTGTCCTCTCTATCAGCTGGAAGCTCTTCTGCAACATTCACTGGGCCTTCCCCATTGCTCAGCAAGTTACCTGCAGACATGTTATTGTGAGCTATTTCATAGTTGCTTTGGCTTCTATTCTCAAATACCAAGTTAGCCTCTCCATCACTTGTGGTAGCTAAAAATAAATCCCCTTCTACTGTGATTGACGTGTAATTTGACTGGAATGTTTCGACCTTGACTGGGAGAAGAGGAGTGATATGAGTTTCTAAGAACTTAGAGTTGTTTGTTGTTCCACTACTATTTATAGCTGTCAGACCTGAGCCAGCTACCACCTCAGAACTTGTGGCACCAGTGTCTTCATACTGCTCCCAGGCCAGTGCTGTAAGATTTTGTTTTTCTTCATCACCTGCTGCCTTTCTTGAGCTTCGGATGGAGTAAAAAGAAGCCAGGTAATCCTGATAATCAGATTCCTCCTTGTCTTCCTCATTTTCTTGCACATCTTCCTCAGCTGAGGTGGGAACTGCCTTTCTTTCAGTCTTGGTGGGAGTTAAATCCACAACATCAAATGCTTCATCTTCCTCATAGTCACATTTAGCATCCCTGAATCTCAGCCTCATGCCGTAACTCATTTCTGGGGTGCCCCAGGATGCCAAAAGCCAAGTACCTGCAGTTGAAATAAAAGTGTTATGAGAGTGGATATTGTCTATCATGTCAGTGGCCAAGGCAAATAGCTGGCATTGCTTCTACAGCACCTGCTATAGCAGACTGCTAATCTTTAACTGGGATATTCGTGAGCTCTCATTGCAATGAAAAATAATTATTAAATGTAGACAAATAAGAGCACATATAAATACATCTAGGAGATGGAACTCTTCTCCATAGATTAAACTGTAACTAGAACCTGAATCCAAAAATAACCTGTGAGAGAGATGGATATGAAAAAGAAAGAAACATATTAAAGGATCCTATGTTTAGATCTGGATCTAAGAGTGAGACCGCTCAAGATAATGTTTCAATTTTATCCTGTCCTTACTGGTGCATGCTCCACTACATAGATAGAACATTCTGAGCAGAGCAAATACATTCTGAGGCAATGTTGGCAAACATCTGACAAACACAGTATTTTAAAAGCTTTTGAATGAGTTACAGATGATCTTTAATAAGTATAATAAGAATAAAGCAATTTGAATTTCCAATCTAACACAACCTATTAAGCTGCAATCTGAGGCAACTCAGATGAATTTAAAGGTTTTAATAATTCCTCTAAAACCTAGTTACAAGGCAAGTTCTGTCTTGGAAACTAGGATCTTCAGAGAAGAAAATAAAATCTGTTTCCCTAAACAACATCAGCAAGTCCTTTGCTTGTTACACTTTGCTTATAGCAGAAATGACAGAATAGTCAGAATTAACACCCTGAGAAACAGGTTCTTTTAATTAAAAAGGTCACATACAATTCTTCCTGTATTGATCAGCTGGAAGTAACCTGCATAGCTTTCCTGATTTTTAACAGCAAATTTATCAAAGAAAGTATGCCCTAGATGGAAAGACTAGATTGCATACCAAATTCAAGCAAAAATGCAACTTTGTTATTGGGGAGGTTTTCATAAAGTCTAACAGTTTTTTAATGATTCCCCTAGTTTTGAGCAATACAAGCCACTTACATATTTTTAAGATCTTGATTCTGTGCAATACATTAAATATATTAAAAAAAAAAAAGATATTTTAAATGAGGTAAGGATACGTTAAACCTGAGGAGATTTTAGCATGACCACTCAAAGTGCATAGACTTTAATAACAAAGAACCTGTCCTTCCAGAAGTAATGCCTTAAGTGTGGACATGGGTTCTGATTCCCCCTCTTCCAAGACATAGTGTCAATTCCAGTTAGACATTGAGATGCTTCCCACAGACCAGTGACCTGGTTCAGGGAGGCAGACTTTACTGCTGCTGAACGACCTCAAGCCCAAGGTCAGTTGTAGCCATTTTGCGCAGTAATGACCAGCAGAATTTGGCATTTTCAGCCCATTTTATACTGCTCAGGATAGACAAGAAAAGGCAATGGAATGGAAATGATTTCCAGGCAAAGCTGGAAATCATACAGTGGAGTTGATACCGATTTCCAAGAAGAATCTTGCCTTAAAATTGTCATTACTAACCCAAATATTAATTGTGAAGTGAAAGAAACCAAATTACAAGATGACCAACAAAAACAGCCTCAGTACAGCATACAGTTATGCTAAATTGGTGTAGCCAGCAAGCCTTTCATGCACATCATTTCCACTGGGGAATGATTCAATGTTTTCTAGAACTGTGTTTATCAGAAGAGTTTTCTTTCCTATTTAGGGAAGTCCTTTTAGACTGGAGATTAAATAATGTCTTTGCAGAGCTGTCAAACACTACAGTTCCACAGCTTACCAGCATTGTCCATCTCCACTGTGACTGATTCTCCGCTCATTGGGAAAAGGCTCAGTGTATCCTCATATTTCCCTTGATAAAGAAAAGAGTGCCCAGCAAGGCGAACAGAGACAATCTCATCGTGAGTGCCAACACTGAAAAAGTGCCACTGAACCACAGTATCTCGGCAAAATCCAAGGATTTCACTGCTGTCAGACACATAGCCATTTATTGCTAAAAGGAAAGAAAAGTGGTTTCATTATTTTTATTTTAAAGCTCCCTGTTCTTTGACGTCAGTCCACTGGGCTCATGTTTGCACTGGAAAGAGACGGGCACAGGGCTGAAACCACGGTAATTTCCATCCCTGAAAATATTAACTCTAAGGTAGTAGGATGCTGCATCAAAATTTAGTTAGCCCTTGTCTTTGCTTCAGTGTTCAGAGCCAGCCTAGCTATTAGTAGCAAGGTGTGGGTAGGCCTTTTCTCCCTGGCAGCTAGCAATAAAACAAGGGGGAATGGCCTCAAGTTGCACTAGGGGAGGCTCAGGTTGGATATTAGGAAAAACTTCTTCACTGAGTTTATAACCGTTGGAACAGGCTCCCAAAGGAAGCAGCAGTCATCATCCCTGAAGTGTTCAAAAAACAAGTGAAAGTGGTACTTTGCAATATGTTTTAGTGGGCATGCTGATAATTAGGTCAGAGGTTGGACTTGATCTTGGAGGTCTTTTCCAACCTTTCTAATTCTATGATATTTCCTATTTCTGTCCAGTGCCACCTAGTTAGAAGTTCACCGACTCTCTGGAGGATTCTCCAATCACATGTGCTTCTGAGAACAAGCAATCACTGAGTGCTCAGGTTCATATAAGCTTTCCTATTATTCATCTCAGTATCCCACTCACTGTGCATTACGTTCGAGTTATAGAACTTGGGATCATCCCTTTTGACAGTGGCTGGATTGCTGCAGTACTCCTTGATATTATCTTCTAGGTACCAGCTCTTATTTTCATCGAACACAGCAAACATTGCCTGCTGCTCCTCGTCTGCCTTTTTCTGAAAGACAATCAACACAGCAGCTACATTTTATCAGCAGACACATGTATTAAGAACTCAATCCTACAACATCGTTCTTACTAGGTAAGCAACATAAGCTTCACCAGAGTCCTGGAAAGTGTGATCCAAAGGCTGAGAGGAAGGGAGTAGAGGCTCCAGATTTCAATCCTACTACTGCAACTAACCTGTGGTGGAACACTGAGCAAGCCTCTAGCACTGCTGATACACATGTGGTTTATGACTGGGCTCTCTGTAACAGGACCAGACGTCCGCCTTGACCTGACAAGGCTTCTGACACTTTTTCTCTCTAGTGATGCTTAAGTCCTTACCAAGCAAGATTTCAATAACTGGTAAAGGGAAGCCCTCTCCCAGAACCCTCCCATGCTCTTTTGGCTGTTCTAGATTCATTGTGCCCAAGATTGACAGATTCTGTGGAGCTGTCTCTGTTACACAAAGGGACCAGGTCAGATCTGAATATCTTCAGAGTATGAAAATATAAGCAGCAGGAAAAGTAATTATCAAGTCTAGAAATAGACTTTAAAGTCAGGCTGACCTTTTGTTGACCTTTTTAGCTCTTGCTAAGAAACACAGAATACAATTCCTTTACTGCTGTGGACAGTTACAGGACTATTTCTTCAGGAGCCTGTTGGTTTAACTGCCCTCTACAGAATAGTTCTCTAAGGGAAGTAAAACTAAATTCAGTGTAGACCAAATAACATTATTTGAGAAAACTATGCCCAAACAACTTACCTGCACACCTTTTTGTGTCAGTGCTTCACTTTTACAAATCAGAAGTGGGCCAATCAGTCCAGAGGCTATATCTCTCTCAGTATTTACAGCACTGTGATACAGCCTTGTAATACACTGTGCATCCTGTGCAGTGGGTTGGTCTGTTTTAGCAATTTTCCACTCATAAGTGTATGTATTCCCTGGTTCAACTCCTCTACTCTGGGTGTCATTGCCTTAGGAAAAACAAGAACAGTAATGATACAAACTCAGAGCCAGATCTTAATATCAATCTGCACCTTCTAATGACATTGGTGCAGTATGGCCATTAAAATCTACCTTGAGATAACTGAAGTTCAGCAAGAACTTTTGTCTCTCTAAAATCACAAACAAGAACAGAAAACTAAGACAACAAATAGAGGGTATTTGTCTCTGCTTTGCAGATAATACCTTGGTTTCTCTATAAGGCAACACAACAGGTAAGCAGAGGCAGAGCACAGAACTGAGGTCTCCCAGTCATGCACATTCCCAGCCACAGCACCTCCTTCAAAGCAACAAAACCATCCATAACAGTTAGTAATATGCAAAAATATATTTCACAAATTTTTTACTTGTGGGATCCAGAGGATAATCGGCTCCTTCTGCATTCTTTGCAAGTGTCACTCCATGGAAATAAATGCTGTAGGGTCGACTGGCCTTATTTTTGAATACAATCTACATTGATAGGCAAATGAAAAAAAAATTAGGATTCGACAAATCCTTGTCTCAATACATAATGAAGCTACCACTACAGTAGAATATTCCTGGGTTTAGCTCAGAAAGTGCCAGAAAGGCAAAAGGGTATCTTAAAAATTGTTTGATATATAAACCCAAGAATAAATGCTGTTACCATTCTGCTGGACTTTGTAGACCCCACTGAGTGAAGCTCAGCTGCTTATAGCTGGGCTCTGGGAGGTCTAAAAAGAACACTTGTTCTTCCAGGTACTAGGCACACACTATCTCAGGAAATATGAAGTTACTGACTGAAGTTCTTAAAAATCTTCAATATGGGAGAAAAAAAAATTTAAACCAAAGCTTGTTCCAGATTGTAAGACCCAGAGGGGATATGTAAGGAAAAGGCAAAATTTCCTATCTATTCTTGACAAAATCAGGATTAGGGAAAAAAAAATGAGAGAGAGAGAAAAAAGGAAAAAGGGAACATGCTAAACTCAAGTTGAGAGCCACAGACTCATAGTGGAAATTATGGAAGTTAAATGTCATGGAACTTTGTGATGCATCATTAAATGACAACAGAAAGACAAGTGGATGTTGCAGCAGCATGAGCTTATACTGCAAATGTTTCATAGTTTCATAGTATAACCTCATGAAATAACATTTGGTTATGGAAACTGAGTACCTTTGTCTAAAACAGCAGGAAAAAAATATCAGCATAAAGAAACAAGAGGCCCATGAAATTCAGCCTCAGATACAAATCCCCTCAGAGGTCCACCCAGGCTTAGGGCTTTTTTTCTCCTTTTGGACCAGTGTCAAGATACATTTTACAGAGTGTGCCTGAAGCATGTTTATTTTGTAAAAAAAAGGCACAATCATGGAAAATATAGAAGGAACACTGAAAAATGCAAGCTAAACACTGTTCCTTGTGATCATATCTTTTAACAGGGCCAATATTTAGAACATTAGCTATATTTTCTAAAAAACAAAAATCAAATTAGCTCCTCTGTATCTCTGCCTCAATGAAAAACATGCTATAGTATAAATAATTTCTGTATTTATTTTACTTACTTTGACTTTATCATTGATCTGTGCTCTGATAATAGGGCCCAAGATTCCAGTTTCCTTGGGACGAGGACTTTCCAGACGTTTAGTGAAGCTGTCATCAGTGTATTGCCTAAAAATAGCCTTTTTATACCTTTTACCTATGAGATTGGAGAAGTTGTCCAAGTGTTGTGATTTATAGTGTCTTAAAAATAAAGGAAAAGAAAAAATATCAACAAAACTTGAACAGTAGCGTTTGTTAAAATTCAAAATTAGTATTCACATAACTGGTAGAAATCTCACTGCTTGAAAAAAAATCCAAACCATAAACCAACCTAATGATTTTCACCCAAATTCTAACCTAAATTAGGGAAGAAGAATCTTGGACCATTACTTGTGTTTTGGTATTAGATATGACCAATTAATATCAGAGTTTACATTTAATTTAACAGTGTGCATACAAGTAAGAAACAGGTACAAGCATACAAGCAGCAGGTACACTTTCAAGGTAAAATAGAAATCACTGCTCTCCTTTATCAAAGGCCTAGTTGAGCACAGAGAAAAAAAATACAATTTGCTCACAGTAGCAAAGACTCCAGGAGAAATAGGAAAACAATCTTAATCCCAGTCAGGCATCATACAGTAAGTAGTGCTACACTGAGGTTTCAAATGTTAAAATTGTTAATGTTGAGAGAAAAACCAGAATAAACACTTGGAATTTACACAGAGAAACATATTTGTTGTCACTCACACTTCAAAAAATGTTACTGAAAAGGAATAAACTCTGCAGTTTTGAACAAAGAAGGAAAAATCAGAGAACTGAGGTGGTTAAGTAAGGCAGTGTGACTGACAGGAAAGATATAAAAGTTTGATCTGTTGCAGTTCAAGAGCACATAAGGGAAGCAAATCATGCTAAAGGAGAACGAGTTGTGCAAACACTGTATTTCTAAGGATGTATATGAAACTACAACCCTTACAGAATAAGGAATTTCTTTTGTTCTGCTTAAATCCTTAAAGATTCTTGTGAATATCAGCTTGTAAAGGCTCATGTAGCACTGGGGAATAGACAAATTGCAAATTTAACCCCACAGTGCAGTGATAGCGCTGTCTACTATGATATTGTGTATGCTCCAGAATTCCTTCTATTTGTTCTAAATTGAGCAAAATAGCAAAATATGCTTGCTTATGACTTGTACTCCATCTACATTGCTAACATGCAGAGGTCATTTATACAGAGCCGTTTCTTCTGTTCCCCAAACACTTTATTGTATTGAACTTTTAAAAACATTTAATCTCCAGAAATATTCCCTCCCTCCCCTTCTCTACCTCTTAAGGATTGTTTGTTTCAGCAGAATAGATATTGAAAAGTATTTTAGAAAATATGCTACTTTGGACAATTCCTAATTCATCTTGTTATTTTGGGCTCCCTGTGAGAGGCAATAGAAGGTGTCCACTGTTGGGCTTCTCAGCAAAGAAAGTCACTGACACTGGTGAGAGTTCAGTGAAGGGCTACCATGGTGATCAGGGAGCCAGAGCACTTGGCACAGAAGCAAAACTCCTGTTTCTTCAGTCATGCAAAGACATAGCTAAGAGAGCATCTTATCTTTAACCTCAACTATCAAATGGACATTCTAGAGAAAGCAAGACCACATGCTTCTCAGAGCTGCATGGTGAAGAGATGAGACACAGTAAACACAACATGCAACATTTAGATATAAGGGAAGTTGCAGAGGTGCCAAGAGGGCACCCGAGGGGCAAGCTGAGAGGTCCCTGTACTTGGAAACAATAAAAATGCAACTGCATAATGTCCAGTGTAACTGGATCCAACTTAGCTGTTGGATACCGAGAGGTTCTTTCCAACCACAATTATCCTGTGATTTCATGCTAACATTCCCTATTATACTGACAAAGTATTATTTTACCTATCAAGGGTGTCTGGAATACTTGGGGCATAATCCCAGGTAACTTCTTCTGCAGCAATGAAATAGTCCCAGGTTTTGACCATAAGACGTTCTCTATAGGAGAGACGACTCTTCTTCACCTCTTTGTCCCCACAGTCCCTTACAGTGAGGTAACCGTGCATTCCAGCTAATTGAGAGGAAACAGGACCATAGTGATTTCCCATCTGAGGACCTCTTACCACCTTAGCTGTTTTTTACCCCCAAAATATATCTCCAGCTCTTATAAGACAGATATTTTTCTCATCCTTTAAAACAGAATTCTGATCATTGCTGAAAGATACCACTTTCAAAGGATGAACAGAAAATATTTTCATCACATTGAAGTACCCTTAGCTGAAAGTACTCAGTTTCTCAGGAAACAGGTGGTTTCTTAATAATTTTATAATGGTGCTTATCTTAACAGTTCACAGAGACTTAGATGCTGGAAAATTGAATGACTGTTGCTCTGTGATGTGGACCTGCAGTAAAGCTGCACTTAGAACATTTTTTAGTTCAACATGCACTTCCAACAGAACGCCCTGTTCTTGGCCATTAGTGAAACAAAAAAACCACCTGAAACAGATGAACTCTGCTGTTGCAGAACAGTAGAAGCCATTTGGGACTTAGAGAAGGACAGCTTTACTAATAACTAGATGGTTCCTTACCTTGCAGGTGCTTTTGGACAAGAGAAGATATGAGCCACCTTCCTTCCTCTGTCACTGTCATGTTTACGGTGGTTGAGGCTCCTCCCACCAAGTTAACAGCAGAAACTCGGCGACGTTTTTGCTCCATGGACTGGCCATTGATATGAATGGAGAAGATTTCTGGTTTGGAACTCATTCCTATCAAATGCCAGCTAATGTTGTCATATGCACAAGCCTCTAAATCTGAAAGAGACATGAGATTAAAGTTCAGAATACAGGTAAATCATGCAAGTTCCCCATGCACCCTAGGTTAGAAGTGAACCTTCACTGAAAACATTAAAAAAATTTGCTGCAGTCGATGTTTGCAACAAGAGGAAGTTTCAGATACCAAAATCCTGTATGTCAGTGGAAGACAAGTGTTTAAATCTTATTTGCAGGTGACAAACTGACTTACAACAAGGTGGCAAAAAAAACCCCAACAAAACCCAGTGCCTTCTTTTTGACAGATGACCTGCCCTTGCTTGGGGAGTGAGGGAAAAGCAGGGCAGGAAAGGCAAAAAACAAAGCAAGGATCTAAGCTAAAGATTGATGTAGTACCTAGTAACAGTGACAATATTTCCTTAAAAAAATCCCCATTTAAGACATTCTTTTGTATTTGCTCAATGGATGGGAGAGTGATATGAAAGTTTTTTCTTAGTAGAACAACAGAAAAGCACTGGCAACAGAATAGCCCCACTACCACTGTCCTAGACTTCTCGCCTAATTGAGTCTTTTAATGATAACTGACTTTCCACTTTCAGGCAGTTTTGCACCCAGTATATTCTATATGCTGTAGAAGCAACAATTTACTTAATCAAATCACTCTCTCACCATCAGCTTGTTAAAAAAACAAGGAGCTTATTAAATAGACATTTTTTTTTTTTAGTTGGTACTCCTTTTCTCCAAGCAGAAGTCATCTTAGAAGTAATCTCATTGTTCCTATCAGTAATTTGCCTTCCTTTCAGCAGCACAATTTTTCTTCCAGAATCTAGATGCTCACAGACACATTCTAAAAAAGGCTGTATCCCATTTCTCTACATTCCCCTTTTTGTGCATGAAAAGCAACTAAAGGTAATACTCAGTGTTCATAAATGTTAGTTTCATTTCACATAAGCCTGAACAGTACCTGGTAACGTTCCATCGGCATAGCCATTAATTGTATACTTGACTGATGGTGATCTTTGCCAACTCTTGTTTTCATCAAACACACCAAACATCAGTACATATTCCCTGTCAAAATGTTTCTGTGACCCATCCTCGTTTAGACTTCCTGTGAAGGAGAAACAACAGATCTTAATTTAAAGCAGAAATAAAGCAGATTTCACATGCAGTTGTGCTAATATATATTTAATGAGCTTGTTTCGCCTGTTAGCATGTACTGGCTGAGCCTGATCAAAACAAGGCCTTAAGAATGCTCATAATGTGATTTTATTTCTGAAAGTACTTTTGGACTGGGTAACTACAAAATCAAAAGTCTGAAGTATTCCAGAGAAGATAAACATCACTCAATGAATTGTCTCAGACAAATTCGGGTAATGTGTTGTAGGGACCACCCTAATGAAGGGGAGTGTCAAACACCTTTGGTTCACAAGCAGGTGCTCTGATCTATTTTCAGACTTGTGAGGCAAGGAGAAGACTGATGGCAGAGTCACCAGCAGTGTGAACAGCACCTTTTCAAGCACTAAGGTCATCAGCAACTTTAAAAAGCTTAAAACCAATCACTCAGCAAACAACATTTACACACAGAAGACTTCAACAGACACTGCTGTGCTGGATTATTTACAAGAAACTGTCCTGGTTGATTTTGTGGTACAGATGTAATTTCTGTCAAGAAGTAGAGTTTCTTTCTGGACATGCCACACAGAACTGGTGTGATTTTTACTGATTCTTTCTGTAGATCGCTCACATTAAAAACTTCCACTTGCTACTTTCAAAACATAGTTTGGTCCCTTTGGATTGCAGGAATTAAAAATTTGCAAACTTCTTGATTATTCTACCTAGGAGAAGACACAGTGGAAGAAATAATTTCTAACATATTTTTTTTTATTTATGAGAAGCTACAAAGTTCTGTTTTTCTTCACAAAAGAAGCCTCAGAACAACAGAGGAATTTATCTACTTGCCACACAAAGAACATTCAGGCAGTGCTTTAACTCAAAAGTCCACTTTTTATAACCTTACCACCCTTAAATGTTTCAGGCTATGGGGAGCTGACACCGACCAGAAGCCAAACACCCTCTTCAATGCTTCCCCATCCCCAACAGGACAGGAGAGAGAGCGGGAAGAACAAAAACCAGAAAACTCATGAGTCAATAAAGATGGTTCAAAGGTGAAGGAAAGAGGGGAAAACAACAAGCAATGCAGAAGAAATCACTCATCTCCCACAAACGAACTGATGCCTAGTCAGTCTCTCAAAAACAGTCACCTTGGAAGTCAACACGCCTTGTGCTCCCCATGCTGTTGTTTCCTCCTCTGCCTCAAGTTTTTATTGCAGAATGATGTTAATGGTAGAAAATAACCCTTTGGCCAATTTGTTTCATCTGTCCAGATGGGTGCCCTCCCAATCTCTTGGGTCCACCCCCAGTCCACTGTTAGGGGAGGTGTGAGCAGGAAAAAAAGACTGTTCAGCAACAGCTCAAACATGGGTGGGTGTATTATCAATGCTAATAAGCCACAAATCCAAAACACAGCACCATATGAGCTGCTGTAAACAAACCAAACTCCATGCCAGGCAGACCAAACACACAGGTACATTGCACATCTACCAGACATGGTGTCCAGTCAAAAAACTGTTCAGAAATCCTAAAAATAAGCATAGTGAGCTGTTTGTCTCATTTCTAGCCAGAAATATACACCCAAATTTTCCTGAAGGAAAGTAGTACCTTACCACTGGTGTGGTAGTGGTCACACCAGTCCATCTCAAATTCATATCCTAACTCAAGCCCAGAGTGCATGAATTTGAGAAGCCTGAGAAGGAAGTAGTTCCAAAGCATTTGCCCAGATTAGCTCAACCAGTATGCCATAAAAGATGCGTATACATGGAAACCCAGAGAAAGAAAACCCAAGAAAACTAGGAAAATAACAAGCCTTAGATAATACTAAAAGCACCAATCATCAAAAAAATTCAGGAGGAACATAATACTAATGCCAGTGTGATCTGCATGAAAATGGGTATCTATGGGTGAAGAGAGTGTCCTTGTGCAACCCACACTGAACCAATGTTCTGTTTACTTTCAGGGGAGCTTTGAGGTCCAAGTCCACGCAGTCTACAGTCTACACAAATTTGTGGCATGTTGTTTCAGTTGTCCCTCAAACCACGAATGTGTATCTAGCAGCTGTTTACAAGTGCTACAAGACACCAGTTATTAGTGGAGATGGAATTCAATGGTTCAGACTGCTAAAATCTAAAGTCTCTGACTGCATACAAAAACAATTTTAAGACTTACAATCTGCTCAAATTTGGCCATATCTTCAAATAGCTAGCAAAAGACACTGCTCTGCAGTTTTAAACTCATGTTACAGAAGAAAGTGTTCCAGGTTCTTGATCAGACAGCCTTAAAAGACAATGGGTAAAACAATAATTTACTGCCTTATTTTCTGAAATGGCCAAACCATTTTGAATGAAGTTTTAGAAAATATTTATTCTAAGACAGGAAATTTGAGGTCATACTAGCAGTTAATTTGAGGTCATATTAGTATATAAGCAGTTAGCTTAATTTAACAGTTAAGCAACTAAAAACGCAACCAATACAGGCAAATGTATCAATTTATTAAGATTTTCTGCCCATCCTATGATTATAAGATGGAACTGCATGAAAGCTGGCATTTAAAAACTTTAACATCTAAAAGAATGATGTTAAAAAACATTTGTTTTACACTGCATGTAAAGATGTGAAAAAGAAAATAATGTATCTTCTCTCATTGTCATACATTATCATCTTTGTTAAGAAATGAAAATGCATTACTTTATTGTAGTCTTACAGCATTTCATTACCTTTCTTACAGATCAGCAGTGCTCCAATCAGACCAGAGTTAAAATCCACTGCCATGTTCTCATGAGAATAGTAAGCATAAGTAAGACAAGGAAGGTCAGCTTCTCTTGGACCAACTTCTTCTGATATATCCCACACATATGTGTAGAGCTGGCCTGGAAGTACAGCATCATCTCGTTTTTCTTCAGGGGATGTTCTGTCATCATACAGGGAGCCTGCCAAGAAAAGAGTCAGTAGGGTGGCATAAAGACAAAGAACAAATAAAATGCCTGGAATATCTTCCTACAATCAGCTCCAAAAGCTTGGTTTGATCATGCTCATATGGTACTTCAGATTCAAAGAAATAACTCATTAAATAACTGATTAAATAATAATAATAATAATAATAACTGATATTAAATAATAATGAGTAGCTGGGGAGAGTAGCTATTCCACTACCATCCTGTTCCTTACAGATTAAAGATTTCCTAGGAGTAACATCACTACCAGAGGTTGGGCTCTTCATCAGTCTGACTAAGGTTAGGACAGGATGAAGCTTCAGCCTCTGCTCACTGATGCTCTGCAGAGGAATGCTGCCCACTCTGTCACCTTTCTAAGTGTCTCTCATAAAGCCACTGCATGGGCTGGCGCTGCCTCAGGCCTTTTGTACACTGCACATTCATATATTGAGCAGTAATGGCTCATGTCAGTGCCTGCCATATCCAACAGATCTGCAATACGACAAAAGGGAGACAGAGAATCTAAATCCGAAGTGCAAAAGGTACATTAATTAATCAGACAGTATTCCCATCATTTCCAATGAGATGTTCTGTTCAACTCCATGAGATGGTGTTGCAAAATTCCTTTTGCACACACACAACAAATAAAGCCTTGCATGAATTCGTAAACTGCAGGTCAGCGCTCTGGCTCAGCACTCAGGGCAGGGCAATCCAAGAAGCATGAGCAACCACACTCACTTCGTGCTGGTACAGACATTTTGCTTCATAGACATTTTGGTCATAGTTTATAATCTCTTTTTGCTGGCCTCATGAGGGTGTGGAGCAAAGCACCACAAAGCTGAGCATTAAATGCTGAGTATCAGAACAGCATGACCAGCACTGCTAGGAAACTGCTCATGACACTCATTCCTAATGTTATGCTGATGAACAAGAAAGGAGCTAACAATGGACATGAAGATGTAACCCAGGATCAACGGATCTTTGTGTTACACATGGTTTTAAATACTGATTTGGACCCTTCTCAACATTTCATGCACTAGTATACAAATAAATGAGCAACACATGGAGTTCCTACAGTATTTACCTTCTTCATTTTTGCTGTAAACTAGGCCTTGAGGATGAATACTGACTGGCTTGTCAGCCATATTTTTAAGGTGAACTACTAAAGTATCTCCCACTTCAGCACGCAGGGTTGGTCCCAGAAGTCCTATAGTTATTCAAGATAAAGAAAGAAGAAAAGATTAATAAAACAGTATGTTTAGAGAAACAAAGAATTTTCTCCCCCAGTAGAAAATATTAGCTCTCAAAGCACAAGTTCCAAAATTAATGCAGAGAATGTAATAACACTGCAATGAAACTTATCCATAAAAAGGCATATCAGTACTTAAAGCCTGTAGTGCATAGTCAGAAATATTATAAATTATTTATCTGGAAACTAGCACTTAAAAATCACAGGAAAATAACAGATTTAGGGAGAAAAAGTTATTTACAGATACAGAAACTTTATCAAAAGATTCAGCTTGAGGTTCAGTGCAAATTTCTAGGAATCTTTCACATACAATTTAATTAAATAGTTTCAGAAGATAAACACTTTCTAGTTTAAGAGTTTAGAGAAAGGCATTCAAACACATTACTTTAAGTAGCACTCTGAATGCCAGAAGTCACAGAACAAAGAGCTCTTTCAATCCCCAAATCTTATCCAAATAAATAATCAGTTCCACACTGTAAATTTCTTGAGGCATTTCCTGCAAAGTATTTCAAGAGCTTGTATCTCTACTCCCCATGTTGCAAAAATAAGCACTTTAAAAAGCTGCTAAGACAACTTTTGGCTTGTTAGTTTCTTTTCTTGTAAACTATTTTGTAAATATTTAGTTTCAGGCCTTAGGCTCCTTCCATATGGATTCATAGTGTCATCACTGCAGCTGTGCCATACAAATATACATGTATGTGGTAATCCTCATCAGATGCTGAAAACAAAGGAAACGAGTTTGTATGGTGCAACTGATTTGCAGACAGCTGCATCCTCTGAAAGCCCAACCTCCCTACAGCCTTTGGAAGCCTCATTCATGCACTGCAGAGCCCTCATCCCCCTGTGCCTGTTTGGTTTATGTGCAAATAATGGACACAAAAATACAAGCTTGCTTAAGTTGCCATTGGCTTTAAAACAAGAGATAAATTAAAATACTCAGAACACTTAATTCCTCTTTACCTGCAAATTTATTTGCTGGTTTCTCTTTTTTAAAATCCACTTCATATTCTCTGTAAGAGATTTTCTTAAATACAGGATCTGAATGTTCCAATCTGAAACCAAAAGAGTAACAAAAAATATTGGAAGGACAAAGATTCTCAGAAATGTCATTGCTGTTTAATGGATATCTCAAAAAATGAATCTTGGAGATATATTTAATCACTTTCACATTTTGATGAAGGCAAACTACACTCTTTGGTCAAAGAGACCAACTCTTTGTAGTATCTTCCCTTCTCCCTCTTATGCTGTTGAATCTGTGGTGTTCCTGAGACAGATAATTTAGTACAGGACATCCAATATCCATACCTAGAACAGTTCACCACTGATTTTACTAGTGTTTTCTATTGGTCATTTTGATTCTGGGGTAAAGATGCCTTTGTTTTGTCCAAGACACAGAGGAAGATGTCTCAACCACACTTAACCTACAAAGCCTCTGACAAGACACAGGGAAAGAAAACTGAATTTCTGTTTATTCAGCCCTATGCTTGAGCTTTAAGACTCACCAGAAGGGTTTTACAACTGCATGAACAGCAAGCTCCTGTCACAGGAATGACTCTGGAGGCAAGCACTCTGAGAACAACTAAGGATCTCACAGAAAGTTAGAAAATGAGAAACACTGCAAGTGCCCCTAGTCTTATTGCGTAAACAATTTGGCACTCAGTGGACCACGCAATGTTTTTTTAGAGAATATTTAGGCAAGCAGAAGGAAACCAGCACACGACACTTCTGCAATGGAAATAATGACAAGAAGACAGCTGAAAGGATAACAGCCCTTCACATTTATTGGTTGATTTACTATAGTATGCATTATGAGTGAATTCTATTTGCTTTCTTTGTAATGCTCTGTCAGGCACATTTGTCAGCAAGGAGCTGATCAGCTGTTCAACTGTGGGGAGGCTGAGAAGAGAGAACAGAGAGAAACCACTTCAGTGACATCCAGAGTCCATAAGGGGGAGATGTCTTTTGGAGGAGATCTCTTGTAAATTCCTTCGCAACCTTCTCTCTCCACAGGACAGTCAGGCAGAAGCAATTGGGGTTTCAATTATTTCCCCTCTCCTTAAAGTCATTGATAAAATTTTGTTTAACTCTTTAAGGGGAAGGATGGGATCCATAATGTTCACTAACAAGAGCTGCCCTAATGTGACAATGTTCAAGAGAATATGCACTGCAGGGTAGAAGAGGAAATTTATCAGTGCCAGTTGGATAGTAAGGAGGAATAAAATACCTAGAGCACTAACAGTTCAGAAATACCACACTACACAAGCAGGTCTAGTTATGTGACTTCTAGGAATTGCAGCATCAACACTGCAAGATGTGCAGATAATATATTATCACTTTGTGCTGAAGTGTCTTATAAATAAACAGTACTTGTACATGGTAACAAACCTCTGCAAAGATAAGACTGACACTCAGAGATGTTAGGTATCTTTTTCTAGCCTGTACGATTGGAAAATTAAGGAACTCAGGCAGGAAGAACTGATTTTCCTTTCAGCCTCTCTTCAGTTATTTAGAAATAAAAGCAACAAAGTATCAGACTCTTACACTGCATTTAGACATTCAGCTTCTGCTGAAATCAGCAGAAGTTACATACTCCAATACCTTTGGGATCCAAGCCATTAACTCTTCCTCAGTGAGCATACTTGTGCTGTGTGGATTTTTGTTTTTCTGTGTTTTTTTTTTTTAGTTTGTTTGGTTTTTGCTGGGTTTTTTTTTGTTTGTTTGTTTGTTTGTTTTTAGTTGGTAGTTTTGTTTGGTTTTGTTTGCTTGTTTGTTTCGGGTTTTAGATAAATTTCTATAAGCTCTACAAAATTCTTTAGACCCATCTGGGATGTGACTTACTCTAAATACTTAGGCAAGGTAACTCAATAGACATTGCATATAAAATATTGCTGGGTTATCTCAGAGAACTTCAGCTGAGGTTTTAGACAGTCTTGTGACTACGGCATGAAAACCACTCTATCCACAATGTGAATTTAACCAAACAGCACTTGATGCTTAAATTGATGTGCCTGGTGCAGAAGGGAATAAAGTTTTAACTAGTAAATTCGTATGTATTGTATTGTTCACAATACTTAAATGGCATCTGGCTTCATGTTCCTACCTTTAAATCCTATTTCCTTCTGTCTTGCCAGTTTAACATTATGCTTATACCAGTTCTGTTAAAGTTTCAAGGGGATTTTAAAAATCATAGAAACTTTGTTATAATTAAATCTTGTAAAAAACAAAAGTTAGAAAGTCATAATCTGAACTGGAACTATCTTTTCCATATTATCCTGAAATGGAATACATGTTTAGGAAAAAAAAATCACAAACAAAAAAAAGCAAGCCATTCACCTGTATATAAATATATATACATAAAAAAGCATCAAAATAAAAAAAACCCCTTTTAACGTAACAGGAAAAGTAATTTTTAATTACTTTTAATGTTTAATTTTTAGTATTTTCCCCCCTAATTTAAACAGGAAATTACATCCAAATTCTGTAATCTGTAGCATTACACCTGAAGTGTTTATAATCCTAAGGACAGTAGTAGTAATAAAAATAACATATTTTATATTCTTATGTCTGGTGGATGCAGAGAGGCTGGCCACTGTGCAATGCTATCTGAAAAAAATAAAATCAGTATTTTCACTTAATGAAGCAGAGTAATGCTTGATCTTACCACCTTTACTCATCAGAACTCAGAATGTGCATTTCACAGAACTCATGAACAACTCAGAAACTGTACAGCTAGTTCCAAAGTTCACCTGGCTCTGATTTAAGTGAAAGTGATAGCATCAAAACTGGAACATAATTATTCCTTCAGCAAATTCTAAAGTCTTAAAGTTTTTGAAATCTTACCAAACCATGGTTCAACTTAACATTGCTCAGCATCCATGTATCCAAAATAAATACATTAAAAAACCCCAAGCAACCAACATTAAGCTATGTAAAAATGACAAAAGCAAGTCCTTGAGCTTATTTAATGGAAGTGCTCTGAAATAATAAAAATAATTTCCACTAGTGCAGCAAATTAAAAGGAGCTTTTAATAAGTTACTGGCTCTGGTTCAGATCATGCTGTTTAATGTCCATCAAGTTCCTCTGAAATCAACAGATTTGGCTTTGAAGTCCTCTTGGGCTCTGCAATTCCACAAGAGATGAGACACAAACCACCTTTCAGTGACAAGGGAGGACTAATTTCATCCTTCTTATCCTGTACTTTGTTACCTGGATTTTTCCTCAGGTTCCGGTTTGTAGGTCCAGCTAGTGATCTGTGCAGCTATATAGTGCTCCCTGACCTTCGCAGCTCCTGCCACATGTTGCCCTGAGTCTGGCCACCACGAACCAAGCAGAAGCAAGAGAAAAAGCTGCAAGCAGTGCAGTGCCATGGTAGAGATGCCTGTTGATGCTGCTCTGGAAGACAAGGCAGAAACCACTGCTTTTATTGCTGTTGCTGCTTCTGACTTCCCCTCAGAAATGAAATAATTATGATGCAACAGGGTAACAACATTTGCTATGCTCAGGTCATTGCTCTTCACCTCCGCCTCCCCTTACTGACAGGGATCCAATAGAGATAAAAAACTGTTTAAACTACCTTCCCTCCCCTCCTCCACACCACCTCCAGCAAGAGACAAGCGCCAAGGAGAAGCAGCTTCAGCCCCACTAGGTGGTTGGGTCACTGTGTACTGAAGCAGCAGGATATCAGAGGCAGAAGATTATTTAGATTACTTCAATTACAGGATGTTTGACTTGCATGGTTAGAAGAAGTGCTGCATATTTTCTGTCTTCCCAGAAAACAGAAACCCAGCCCATGGCTGGCACTGATGGAAGTTTTCCAGGTAGTTGTTACATTTCCTAAGAAACCATTTTCAGGTTAGAAGCAAAATACTGAAGCATTAGGTACAGGGAGTAGAATTGGGTGCAGAGCTAAAATCTAGTTCAGATCAGCATGTACTGCATGCTCAGAACAGTAAGGCAGCCGCCTTTCCAAATGTTGCCAGCTTCAGTTTGATTCCCACTACACTCCCAAATACCTCAGGTAATAGGTAACCAATGGGCTTCTCAGAGGCAGCTACCAGGTCAGACTGGAGACTTTTAATTTAGTCTTGATTAGGGTCTGTTGACATTTATCTAACAAGAAATGATTAGGAAAATACCTTTTGAGAAGGTAATTATCAATGTCAATTGTATTAGCAAAAATGTTTCCCTGCTTTTGGCAGTGCTAAGAAGTTGGTCAAAACAACAAGTAAATTGTTGATCATGTTTCCCACGCACTCCATTGCTAGAAAAACAAAAAATCCTATCTATTTATTTTTTTTTTGTGGCCAGAAAATGAAAACGACATTTTTAGTAATGTTTTCCTAATATTTTAATGAAAAAATTACCTAAATCCCCAGATCAAAATAACTCCACTCCAAAACTACAAAAAAAGGACAACATTTCATTTTAGGTTACTTCAAAAGAAAATCTGATCAGTTCTAGGTTTGATACTTTTTTTAACAGCAGAATGGCCTATCAGCTTGGCCAGTTCTGTCCAAATTATATGGTACCATAAGGTCTTAGAAGCAATAGGGAAGATGGCTGAAAAAAAAATAAATGGATGAAGATCAACAGCTAAATGTTTACTACCAAACTTCAGGATCATTTGGTGCATAAACCTGAAAAGAATCGTGCTCACTTAGACAGCACATGACTACCAACATCATGATTCTGTTTAATGAACTGCTTATGTTTGAAATTTCCATTATAAGCAGGCTTCTAATAAAGTTTTCTTTTAATAAAAAGCTAAATTATTTCAGACTAAAAATTAATACCCATTAATTACATGATTAACACCCCCTGCTCGGTGTTTGTGAGATGGGAATCATCAAAGCTGACATCACTTGGTTATTTCTCTTTTATCCATTTCAAGGAATTTGGGAGCTGTATTTTTTAAATTTATTAGTCAATGGATGATGCAGTATCATTTTAAAGGTAAGAATTTTTAAGTGTGGCTGATCATATTGATAGTTTTAAAGAACAGTATCAAATTGCAGGACAGATACCTTCCATTAAGCTACACTGATTACCATTTTGTTACCCTTCTTTAACCCTTTAAGAACAAGAAATCCAATGCTAGCTGCTTGCTCATTTTCTCCTCACATTTTAAGTATCAATTTAAAATTAATCAAAATTTTCCCAAAATCATCTGCATCAGCCTTAGGGTTTTTTTCTTTTCTCTTCTCTTTTTTAAGCTATTCCATACATTGTATCCTATGGGCTTTATGAAATGTCCTGAAAATCATTATTAATAATCCAAATATGTTATTCCCTTCCACCTGATCATTAATTTCTATTATCTGCAATTACATGTCTGATGTTGTGAAAGTCTAATACATACATATAATTTCTTTAAATTAACATTGGTTGCTTGCAAGCTATTACTATTAGTCCATGACAAGTGACTACAGAATATATTCTTCCAGGCTGAAGTCTTTCAAGACCATACAACTTTATTGGTTATTCACATATTTAGCTGTGATCTTTTTTTCTACTTCACAAGACTGCACACGCTGCAAACTTCATAATTTATCCTCATTGCTTACCCACATGTTCAAATGTCAATTGCAAGTCAGTAACAACATCAAAAAATCATATGGTCAAAAGCCATGCACGGGGGAATGTGGGTCCAGTGCAGGCTGGCAAGACAATCTCTGCAGCACGATGAAGGCTACTCCCAAAACAGAGTAGTACCTTTGGGATGTATTGATATTGAAATGCCAAATGAAAACCAAGCATTGAAAGAGAAGCCTAAGCAATACCTTATAACAGTAAGAGCAGGTCTGCACCTTTGAACTGGGCAAGCTTACTGTCTGTTCTGACACCCAGTAATTATGGTCTTGATATCTTGTCATGTGAGAACATATTAAGGGTATACCTGCAGTCCTCTCTAAAAGCTGACCTGCAAAATTAACTGGCAATGCCACTTTTACACTTAGGCTGGGTGAAATCGCCTAGGCTGAATCTGAGCGATCAAGAACAGATCTTTAAAAAGAGATGTAAAGGGTGATATGCAACTTGCTGCAAATAAAAAATCAGGATCCACAACAAACTTGGTTCCACTTCATCAAAAAAAATACCTTAAGTGCCAGCAGGCAATCATATCCTGATGCCTGCCATCAACTTTCACAACTGGTAACAGAGAGGGAGCTAGAACAAAGAAAAAGCTGTAAAACGACTGTGGAATTAGTTGCTATTAATGTCCTAAGAGAGATCTCTCCCTCATTCAAACACACCAACCAATGCACAGCGGTCCAGCAGCATACTTTGCTTAGTACAGGTTGAACAGGCTTCATGGGCAAACAAGGAGTTAATTATTGAATCAGCAGTGAACGCGTGCCTCTGAAGTAGGTAGAAGACAGAGGGGCACTTACCAAATCTGCCAGGCACAAGCAGGAACATAGGCCATCAGCCGAATATCTTCGCTTCTGCAAGTGGGCACTAAAGCCAAGAAAGGCTAACCTGTGAAACAGCTCAGTTTAGAAGCTGAAAGTAGATGTGCTATGCCAAAAAACCATATGAACAGGCAAAAAGAAAAGATGGCAGAGAAACTGAGGCTTTCTTTCAGAGAACAAGTTACACAAAAGAAGATGTATGTGTTTTGATGACAGCTCTCACAAGAACACATTGTGTACACTGTTAAGGGAAGGCAGGCTGTGTGACTTCTGTGGTCATAAACAAACTAAAAGGCAGTAAGAATGCAGAAGGGCATTTCAGTTTGTCCTGGCACTTCAGAAGTGCTTCAGAAGACAAATCTTCATGTTGATTTAAACCTACATGCATTCATGTTTTAAACTTGTATTTTTCCTGAGCTGAAAAGCAAATGTCCCTTGTTAGAATTGGGTGTTTCTTCAGTTGATGTTTGCCAAAAGCATTTATTTAGCAGGACCAAAACTATTTGTACAGAGATGTTGAATTCAGTAAAGTTACAGAAGAAAACATGTTTATTTTCTAAACACTGTAAAACCTAATTTCAGTGCTTTAACAAATTTTTCTAAAACCACTGGCTTGTGGTCTGAAAAAAAAAAATCATTTTAAGGAACGAACAAGGATATACAAGCTTCCTCTCTTCAAAATCTGCGTAAATGACAGCTCACTTAAAATTCTGGATTGACTCAAGCGAACCCCATTTTTTTTATTCCTGTGTGTTTAACTTTTGCCAGAAAAATTTCAGTTTGGCTCAACAAAGAAATTTACTCCTACTCACTGTTTGTGTTCTCTGTGTTCCAGTTTGTCTTCTTTACTAAGAGATTTCTGTATTTGCCCAAGCTTAGAACTGATATGCACTGCTATGGAAGCAGCTGGCCTCATGCTAAGTCAGTCTAGCAGCATATTCATCTTGGATTTCTTTCTGTAGAGAACAACAGTAAGGATACCAGTGCAAGAGTCTGAAGCTAGGAAGACTCACCTTTTTTTCTCATAAATCTTTGTTGCAACTGTAATTGGACTATCAAAAAAGAGAGAGCCTCTTATCAAGTTGTACACACCTACTTCCAACAATAAGGATGATATTCTGAATGAATGAAATTTTTCATCCTTTATACAGTTGAATTTTCTACATCCAGGTGTTTGGGGTTTTTTTTCATTTGTTTCCAAATAGTAGACTTAAAACAGATCTTGAAGTTGGTATAAAAGGCTGTTTTGCACTAGAAAAGCAGATAGGCATGTTTCAGAAAGAGACATGTGAATCAGTAAACTTTTAGCATAATAAGACCCTAAATTATAACTGTCCCTACAGATTTCACAACACAGACAAAAACAAAACATTCTAGTTCTCTAGTAATGGCTCAGGCTGTTTGTTAGCAAGCTGGTTAAAGAAACTCAATTTTCCCACACCTACAAATGCTGCCACAGAAGGACAAAGTGGAAATTGCCCAGTTTAACACTATTTCCATCCTTCATTACTTGTAGCTTAGGCTTTGATTAGATTTTTAAAATACTAAATACAGAACTACACTTCCCACAGTTACTGCTTTGATTTTTATCTTCCACATTTATTTTTATTGGAAGCAAGTATTTAATGGCATTTTAAAATTTTTTACTATTATTATACTACTTTCACATTTCATGTTAATTGAAAACTAGATATCTGAAGCCTGACAATAGGCTGTGATGGTCATTTTTTACATCACTGTGAGGTTATTCCCTTCACATCACAACTCATTCACTGTGCATAATCTTTAGAATCAGTAGAATCCAAATTTCACCCACACCTTCACTGCATGCAGCACATGTAAACGAGAATGTACCCAAAGTCCAAGATCAAGAAACAGAAAGCAGGCAAAGAGACACAAGAACTGTAAGGCGTGTAGTATGAAAGTGAGCAGAGCAGAACTTCTCAGAATTTCTTCTGATGCAGACACAAAATTCAGATATTTAATAATCATGTAGGATCTGAGAGAAGCTTTAACTGAAGTTACTACATTTGCATGTTTATAGTAGCTCCTACAGCAGCAATCTTTGGTTCTATCAGGAATTTTAAAGATTAATCCCAAAGGAAGAGGAAGATCAAGGTACAGTACAACTGCTGCAAATGCATCCAGGTCAAATCTGCTTGCATGTACAGGCACTTTGATAAGCAGCCAAGCAGAGCACCATGTCTTAGTCACCAAGGATTGGCTTTTGTGACACCAGACAGTGCAGGGCTAAAATGGCTAAAAGACATTTAATATCATGGTGATGATGGAAGCCATTGGCAAACTCTCATCAGTTCTGCAGTGCCTCTTTTTCTGTCAGAGAAAAAGGCCTTTTTTGGTTTATATATAAAAAATAAATTTAAAAAAAAAAATCACACCACTTTTTTCATCAAAAGCCTGACAAGGAAGAATATGGTATTTTATAACTTAACGTACTGGTGACTTATGAAACTAGTTCACCATCTTAAAGGAGAACAACAGATACCTTTTAGGGAGAATGATATTTCAAAAGATTCTGATGCATCAAAGGAAAAATATACATCACTACTTGTTATTTTAAGTCATACTCCCTCTTTTTGCCCCCCTTCAAGCCTTGCTATTTCTTGGGTGGAGAACAACCGCTTCCTTTGTTACCAGAAAGCCCAAAACATCTCTGAGATTAGTCTCATAGGCAAATTCCTATGGCATGACTCAGTGGGTGTTTTAACAGGTTTCAGCCAGTTTTAATCTTCACTTACATAGACATTGCTTAAGATACTGTCCAAGAAAGAGGAAGACAGATATGAAAGTCAATTTTAGCATAGAACACAGGACCTGATTACGTGTTCACATGTAAGTAAGAGGCTGTACACAGGACAGCCGAAACAGGGACCAGCTGTGCCAGGACTGGGACCAATCTTCCTACCCAACAGTAAATTCAGTCCATTGCAGACACCCAACTTCTGATTACCTTCCAGAATGCAAGATAGATATTTGGGAGATAAAAGTGCTTTCCTGAAAACCTGTTTAAGTGAATCTAATGACTATAAATATATGCACAAATATACATACACAGACATAATGGTACTTTCCTACAATTTTCATTAATAAAAACCTTACATTTTTAGCAGAAAGTGTCTGCTAAAGCCTGGATGCCTCTGCAATATCTGAACCCACAAACAACTCCATGTATGTTCATCTCAAGGAGGAAACCATGCTATTGGGCTGGCAATTAATGTAGCTGAGGCAGACAAATAATCAAGATTGAACCTTGCTCTGCCATAGCAATCTTTTCCCTTTACCCTCAAGCTGTATCTTTGTCAGTATGACTGTTCTTTATTACAAGACAAACAGACTACATCATCAATATTCCTCCCTTGCCTCCCCAAATATTCCATCTCTAGTCTTGCTCAAGTGTAAATCACCTTTCAAATTCTGGTTAGTTACAGTTGTTTAAGCTGTAGTCAAACTTTCCTAACAAGACAACCACTTATTTTTTTCGTCTTTTAAAACCTTGCTCCGTCAATAGGAAACATAACCATTCATAGCTGAGAAAAAGCTCTCCACAAAGCTCTTAAGTGAATTTAAATATGAGGGGAGAAAATAAAAAATGCACATTTTTAGGAATCAGCTACGAAGTCAAAACTATTAGGCTTCTGCTACAAAAGCAGATTTCAGTTTCCAACATACACAAAAATAATCTCACGGAAAGAAATTAGAGGAATTAAGGAGGAAAAAAATCCCATCTCTTAGTGCAGCATCTGTACTGGAATGAAAGTGATTTATTTATATTACACACAGAGATTTTTATTAAAAAGGCTGGTAATGGAACATTTTATTTTAATGCATCAAGTTGATAAAAGATTAGTTACAGAAACTGTGTATAATGTTGTATAAGTCACATGGATAGGTTATTTAAAAAAAGATTTGATAATTAGAGGAACACATCTCTTATTTTAGTTACATCGTAAAGTGCCTTGTGTAGTCGTATTCTATCGTTGGAATGACCGCCTGTACAAATTTCAAGAAAATAAGAAGGTACCTGAGTTTATTATTAAGGAAAATGTACAATAGGTAGAAATCCTGCAAAACAAAGCAGAAGTCACATTCAATGGTCTGCTCAGCAGTATCTGTTGCTAATAGGAAAATAACACCTAGCTACTTAAGAGTTAGGAGACTGGGAGATTAATATGGCAGAATTCCAGCAATGACTTCCGATGCTTGACCAAAAATAGACCTTCCTGGTTTAAGTTAATGAAGGAAACCAGGAGTTGTTTTCAATGTATCTTGCAGACACCAGAGAAACATTACCAATTCCATTTACATTCTTAATATTTGTTATTAATAAATACCAAGGTGAATTGGAGAGGTTAATCCCTTTCTACCTTCCTGTAGTTGCAGGGAAACCAGGCTGCCGTCCTCAGTGCTTCAGGGGCTCAGAAAAAAGAGATCTGCTCCTATTCTGAGCCATCCTTTGAAAGAGCTCCTGCCTGTTCATAAGGGAAAGTACAGAGATTAGCTTTACCAAGCTGAACAGCCTGCCTTTGCAGAGAAGAGTTCCCTTGTATACATCACCTTCAAATGCATGTTGGGCCTGAATTTGCAGTCTGGAGTGTATTGAATAATTACAATCTAAAGTCTCTGTCCATGTGGGAAAGAGGCAGGCAGGGAACTGAGAAATTAACAGAAATCACTACTTTCAACTGACTTAAGTCAGTTGGTACTGGATGTAAGTAAACCCAACTGTTTTGATGTAATAGTCTCACAGACCACTTCTTCACAAACAGACAACACATGAAAATAAGTAAAGAAATGTTAAAAATGCCCCAGTTTGTTAAGTGATTAAAAAAAAAGAAAGAAAGAAAAAAAAAAGCTATTTGCAACTACTGAGGACTAGGAGTCTTGAACAACTGTGACAGACAAGTTATTTTCCAGTTCAGTTCTAGTTGCTTGTTGCACAAATTAAGCAAGTCTCAACTCATAAAGTAAATGAAAATTTTATTGATTCAGGACCTCCAGCTGCCTCAGTAATTCCTGCTTATTTGCCTTACAGCAGCAAAGAACACTATTTTGAAAGGACATACTTGCTTTTATTAGGGAGGTTGCTCCAGTCAGAAAGTATACTATCAATTTATTACAAAGTATAACTAACCCTCAGCTTCCTGAACAAAAATTCCAATTGTGAGACATGTGATATTGATGTCCACAGTTGTTTTAAGTGATTTTTATTGCTTTTTGTCAGCAATGTTGTTTTACCAAGATATTGCCCACATGCAGAATAGCGAATAGTGGGACCTCTAACCTTTCAGAAATTAATTTCAGATTAAAATCTAAAAAGCTGCTTTGCAAAGCAGTGATTAGACTCTGGATGGAGTCTGTGAACCTCCAGTTTCATCTTCCAACACTGCTATTTCTGTTTCATGCTCACAGCTACATCCTTCACACCCTTAACAAGGGTTCAGCCCTGTCCCTTCAAACCTACCTGCTTTCCCCACTGCTTCTGCCTTACACCACCTCATGTTCCCCCAAAAACATAGTGGAGTCTGTTAAAGGAGCTCATCCCAAAACTCCAGCAAGAGCTACCCAAAGCAGCTGTTCACTGCTTTTACACACAACTGTGTTTCAGCTTGAGGTAACAGACCTTACACTGCAAGAAGTCTCCAAGAATCTGTGTAATAATGAAAAAGGATACATGTGAACTCCAAGTTCTCCCCCACCTTCTGCAACAGTCTCGATTATTTTCTTCATGACTTCTGCATGCCTGAAAAAACAGATCAGAACAAAATATTTTAAGGAAGAGGCAACTCCCTCTTCATCAGCAAGAATAGGTTTTGTGCAAATTAAATAATTTTGGACCATTAGCTTCAGAAGCAGCAGAAAGAAATTTTCAGTTGACTGAGAAAGCAAAATAGCAACAGTAACTGAAAATTAACATTAAGTGAAGAATGTAACATTATTTAACAGCTCCTTACATTCCCATGGAAAGAGAAAATGTTGTACACTACAATGTAGACAGAGCGCCATGACAGCGAATGGACACTGCTTGACAGCAGCGTAACTTTCAATTGCTGAATGCCAATAAAGCCTCCACGAAAGTCCCCAGAAGGTAACACTGACCAGCATTCAGCCACCAGAAGTTCCCAGATGAGCCTTGAAGATGATGTCTACAAACTGCTGTAGCATTTTCAGCTGCCTTTGCTGAACTGAAACTTGTAAGGTTTAAAACACTAAAACATTTCATAGTTTCCTAGGAAAGCCAGATTAAATCAACCCTGCATAAATTCATAACTATTGCTCTAAGACTGGTTTAGGGTATGGAAACTTTCTCTGGTGGTAACTTGGGTTCTATTGCAAATCAGCAGTTTCTAAGCCAGCTTCTTCTTTCTTGTAACTCTGTTATTGTAAAGCACTACAGGGAAGGATAAACATTTCCTCAGGTCACTAAGCTTTTACATTCTCAACAGTGACATCCCAGACCTATTATGAGCCACACAATATTTGTGTACAAAGCTGGTCCTGGGAATACAACAGAAAATTA